TAAGAAAATGTAACTTCATATATTATCACATGTAAACAATGAAAATAAGGAGTCTAATTGCTCAATTAGTTAAAGTACACAATTTAAATGTTTTTTTAGTATTAAGGCCATAAAAAATGTTTTAAGTGAAAATAAATTCTTTTGTCAAAAAATCATTTTTTTGCAAACAAAATCTTTTTGTTTGAAAAAAATTGATTTTTTGTTTCAATAGCAGGAATTTATTTTGTGATGTAACTCGTGTTATGGAAAATATAACTCGCATATAGAAATATGTAACACACACATAAAAATGTGTAACTCGTGCATGTGAAGATGTAATTCCATATATGATCAAATTATTTAAATATAAATAATGAAAACAAGGAGTATAATTGCTCAATTAATTATAATTGCCAAAAGATAATTTATGAACATATAAACCACACATATGAAAATCTAATTTCATATTTTATCAAATTTAAATCAAAATACACAAATTTAATGCTTTAAAAAACTAACAACATATAAAAGAGATAAGAAATATATTATAGAAAAAAAGTGTATGAATATGAAAAATATATTATGAAAGAAATGTATAAATACAAAAAAACATCACATAAAAAATAAATTTTATTGTAATTTCATTTGAAGAAAGAAAATAGAAAGAAGTGTATGACTAATGACTAAGATAGAAAAAAGTAATTAATTTATTTTGAAATGATAAAAATTGAATCAGGAAATTATAATACTCTTAATACGTTCCACTGGTCATGAATTAGAAAAAATACTATTTGGAAATAGTGGACTCAATGATTGTTAGCTTTTGATGAAAAGTAAAAACAAAAAAAAAAAGAACGAAAGAAAGATGGTGGGCTGGGGGGTAAGGATGTTTTTACTTGGACTGTAATTTGCTTGTCTGGTCTGGTAAAGTCTGGTTTCTTTGTATTTTTATAACTATTCAAGTCTGGTCTGGTCTGGTCTGAACTGGTCTGGTCTGGTCTGGACTGGTCTGGGGCAAATTACAGTCCAAGTAAAAACATCCTAAGAGACCGTGAGACCGTGGTGATCAAAGAAAAATGTCACTGTATTGGGATCGATGTACCATGAGCATGGTATGCCGATCCCACGGTATAATTTTCCGATTCTAGGAGTAAATTAGAGCACCAAAATCACTTATGCACTTTCACTCAAACACTCCTACTTCTGCTTTTGCTCTCTGAAAGAGAGGAAGCAGTTTTAAGAATCAGATCCAACTGTTCACTTCATTTATTACTACGTATAAGGACTACTCCGTATTTTTTAAAGAGATCATCATACACTCATACTACCTACTTTATTAGAGCATTTCCAATGCTACAATGTGCACGGTGCACATGTGGAATGTGAGATAGTCACATAAATATAAGTAAATAAATCATCTATCTCCTTATTTAAATGGTTTTATACCATTTGGTATATTTTTCTCTGTAATGTCAACGAGGCCATCTAGATATAGACATTGTGGTTGACAATGTTAATAAAATTTTACCGAAATTATATAAAATCATTCAAATAGGGAGAAGGATAATTTATTTATCAATATTTATGTGGCTATTTTTCATGCCACATGTGCACCCGTGCACATTATAGCATTGAGAGTCATACTATAACGACAAAGTGGACAACAGACATGTTGGAAACTATTATGTATGAGAAGTATTAGCTTCGATAAAAGAACAAGGACTGTCAAAGGTAATTTTGGAGGCAGATTCACTTACAATATTGTCAAGAATTACGAACGAGGATGGAGAATCTTATTTAGATACTACTACATATAATAGAAGATACTCTATTTGTCCCATATAACTTTGTCATCTTTTCTTTTTTCGGTTGTATCAACAACTCACTACATTCCCTTTTAATTAATAAATATGTGGTTCCTGTTATTGAGATCTCCTTTGCACAAATCTCAATCTTATAATTTTTACTTTATCACTTCACGTGTAGATCAAACTTAGCAAAGTTTTGAGGGATAGAGGGAGTATAAGATATAGTCTTATTAACCACATTAATTGTGAGATCAGGCATTGCATGAGATCCCGAATAAGGCTTCCCATAATCTTGCACGCGAGGCCCTTTCAAAGCCGGATGGAAGTGTCATACTGTCATCTTTAGTGCGATCCCCGATTGGCCGATTGTAGTTAAGTAAATATACAACAAAAACTAAATTTATCATTCTAATTAGTATAGATTTTTATTTTAATGTGGTAGATTAATTAATATATAATAATTAAAGTTATTACAAGTATGTGAAATTTCTTGTAATTTTCAGGTTAAAATATAATAAAGTTATTACATTCCCAATGAGGAGGTCACAAGGTCGAAATTCACCCAATTCAAGGATGTTAACGTTTAACAAAAAAACAGAGACTAAATAGATTTGTCAACACAACAAAAAATACACAATAAATACGAAAATAATTAATGTGGATAGGGAAATGTATACAATAATTTACTGAAATAAAATTGTGGATCTTTAGTCGTGAAAACTCTTCTGGCTCACATATTTTTTAAGTAAAATAATGTATTATTTCATTCGAATAATAGCAACGAAATAAATGAATAACGTACAACTACAATGGGTGAGACACACAATGGAAAGATCCCACGGGCCCTTTCATACCGCTAGCCCATTCAATAACATAGACTAATCTAACCGTCCTGTTATACTTGCTACTCCAAATAGAATACAAAAAAAACTACAAATAAAATACACGGCTTCACCATAAAGAGAGAACTGATTTAACCAACAACCAACAAAGGAAAAACTCTACTGAGTAGATATTGTCTGGATCATCAGTTTGATCGGCCACCGAAAATGAGATCTTGTTGAGCAATATTTTGCCTGAATCACTAGTCTGAATCACTGAAGTCTCATAGTCATCAATACTAGGAGCCAACCATGACTAACAAAAGTTCATTCGATCGATTACACCGATGATGAATACAGCCTCTAGACATCGTTAGGAGAGAAACACTTTTATATTCTTACTTCATCCAAACATATACAAACTTTTAATCAAGATGGAATTAAAATGCTTTTAGTTGGATTGATTTCAGTCTCATAGAGAACCAACCCAGACAAAACCAAATCATATAGTTTACAGTCTTTACACTTTTGCGGCATTTACGGGATCAAACCGACTAGATCAAACGCAAATAGGAAAAATTCCCAAGATATGACTAAAACATATTGAGTTTCTCAAAATATGAGTAACTATGTTTTTTTCCCGGAATATGACTAAAAACCGGAAAAAAAAAATTCGTCATATTATAATGTGGAAGGACAAAAATGCCCTTATTTAAAAAAGATGCATTTTGCACTAATTTCAGCCGTGTAAATATATTGCACTTTATGAACGCGTTATAACACAACATTTATAGCACTTTATGACGGCATTCACTGCACAACATATAATGCACTTCATGCACTTAAGTTATGGTACTTCAGTTTGTCCTTTTTTTAGTTTTGATAATTTTAGTTTTTACGTTTAATTAAATCCAATGCACTCCATGCGAGAGTTATGACAAAACATTACAAAAATGTTAGCATTTTATAATATTTGAGATTTAATAATTGCAGTTTATATCAATGTTAATGCTCTACATTATTGCACTTTTTGTCAAAATCACTTTATATATGGTCATATCATTGCACTTCTTTGTCATAATCATTACACTTCTTGTGATATTCACGGCATTACATAAAAAATATTCATTGCACACTGTCCTCAATCGTCTTCAACCTAGGGTTCTTCTTAAATCTTGGGTTTGTCTTCAACCTCGACCGTCTTGCTGAAGAATCCGAGTTGTTGGAGCGGCGGTCCGGCCATCACCATTCTTTGGCAACATTAATTATTACCCTAATTTCATTAAATAGAAGAAGAACCCAACAAACCGTAATCTCAAGCGGCAAGAGATCAAGCACGCTGGTTGACGGAGGCACGAGGCAACTGTGCGGCGGGACGGCGGCGGCCAGGGCAAGGTCGGCGGGTGGCGGCGAGTGCGGGCCGGACGTACGAAGGAGGAGAACACACAACTGTGCAGTTAGACGGAGGTGATGAGCAAGCGGACGTACGGCAAGGCATCGGCTGGACGGTGGCGAGGCGACAGAGGTAGGTGGCGGCTAGGTGGAGGCTGGGCGTCGGCGGGGCAGCAGCGGCAGGCGGGTGTGCGTGAGTAGTGGGAAGCTAGAGACTAGGGTTGGAGAAAAAGAGTAGGAGGTTAGGGTTTTATAGACTTAACCTAAGGGGTATATTAGTCCATAAAAAATAATTATTTAATTGCTAATTTCGAAATTAATTAAATATAATTGATTTAAATATTATTTTGGGAAAAACACTAGTTAGGTTATAGATTGGGAAAGTGGGGAAGTTTTACTCATACAAGGGATAATTATTTCAACGCAAATAAAAGATCAGAAAATTTCAATTCAAAAATTGTGGTTTGAATTAAATAGGCCCTTGAACTTACTTAAAGTGTTCAATTAGTCCCTTATATAGGAGGTTCTGTCCGGCCGTCGCCAATTGGGGCGGTTCCCGGTGGATTTTTTTGATGAAATTTTTTGAGCATCTTCTTCATTAAGTCTAGTTTACTCATACCAAATTTCAGCTAAAAATTCAACCGGGAAGGCAGTCAAATGATTTTTTGAAGATAACTGCGAAGTTAAACAACGCAGTACATTTCGTAAAATCATTTGACTGCCTTTCCGGTTGAATTTTTAGCTGAAATTTGGTATGAGTAAACTAGACTCAATGAAGAAGATGTTCAAAAAAATTCACCGGGAACCGCCCTAATTAGTGACGGCCGAGCAGAATCTGCTATATAAGGGACTAATTGAACACTTTAAGTAAGTTCAAGAGTCTATTTGACCTTAATTATAAAGCGCAGACACAGTTCTGCATTATTGGAATGAAACCCAAATAATTCCCTAACTAGGAGTAAAAGTTCATAAAACTGAAAAAACAGGACCGTAATGTTCCGTAGGACTAAAATTAAATGAGTATGACAAAAGTACCCTTAATGAACCCTTAATGAAAGTCTGTCTTATTTAGTAATGCTACATACATATAAATAAAATACAAAAAAATTACACAGCTATATAACTGCACCGGATGTGCTGCGGACTGTCATAAATCTCATGTACCGCCACTGTTGGCGGCCGGCCGCCACCACCACCGCCGCCCGCTACCTTTACCGCCGGACGCCGGAGCCGCCTAATCCGCCGCCTCTCTCAGCAAGTCTTTATCTGCCGCCGCCGCCCTCCGGCGAGTCCTCGTATGGATCCGCCTGGTCTTCCAATGCCGCCACGCTCTATGCTTGGACTGCTGAGATCTCCTACACCACCACCAAAATTATTCTAGTGAAATATTATTTAATGTCATGTTAAAAGCATAATGCCATTTTGTAAAAAATACATGACATTAATAGTCATAAATATGACATTATTGCTTAACATTTTCAAGCAATATTGCCATCTTTATGTAATTAGTATGTAAAAAATACATGACATTAATAGTCATAAATGTGGCATTATTGCCTAACATATTCAAGCAATATTGTCATTGTTAGAGATATTTTCATTGTATTGTGATCAATGTTACTTATGCTTTTGTTGTTAGTTCAAATAAATAAATAGACTAGCTAGAATAATGAATAGGCCTTTTAAGGCAATTTGTAATAAAGGCTTTCATGCCTTTTTAGGTATGGGCCTCCTAGAAAAATGAGCCCAAATGATTGTAAAACCTACCTTTCCCGTCAGGCTATATATATGCCTTAAGGGAAAGGCTAGGTTAAGCTTTTCAATACATTCTCTGTGCCACAGTGCCTATTCTCGTGTAAGGTTTCACGCTAAACTTTCATATCATTCTGTAAAACCTCTACACATCAATGGAAAGCTTCAAATCATAGATCTATCTTCCATACATACATTCTAGACTAGAAAAACAGGGACCTAACATCTGGTATCAGAGCCGGAGCTGATCGATCGATTGAAGGCTGAAAAACGCTCCTGCGCGATTCTTCATCGTTGAAGTTTTGCACTTGAGCGATTTTTTTGTTCTGTTTTTGTTGTGATTTTTTAGGAAAATGTTTACAGGGAAATGCTTCTAGGCTTGCTGGGATTCATTCTGCAAAAAATCTCGCTGAGAAAGTTGGCGTACAGGTTAAGCCAGATTTGAGCGATCCTGCATTTTCGCGCAACTCCCTGAAAAGGAAGAACAGATTCGCGCAACAGGTCTCCTGCGCGATCTCAAGCTTAGCGCAACAACTTCTGCGCGATTCAGGACTTGCGCCATCTTCAGAAGCCTCCTGCGCGATTTTCAGCTTCGCGCAACTTACCCTGCGCGATTTCAACTTCGCGCTAACTCCCTTGCGCGATTTGGAAGCTGAGCGATTTGGACTTAGGATCTTTTGAGAGTTGAGCGATCCTTGACTTGCGCAATTCCCTACTGCCTGAAGTACCCAACAACAGAACAGGACTTAAACAATCAACTGATCAGCCCGATCATTTAAAATGGATGCATTATCAATTGGAAACGACACGAGACCCCCGATTCTACGAAGAGGAGAGTACAATGTGTGGAAGAACCGATTCCTGAACTTTCTGGAGAGCAAGGACCAATCCTCAGGTCTTCTTGACTCTATCACAAATGGACCTACCCAATTGATGATAGCTGTTGAAAGAGACAATGGGAACAATCCACCTGTTGAGATAGAGTGGAGACCAAAGACGGTTGACGAGTATGATGATGAGGACAGAGCAAGACTCCGTGCAGATCTCATTGCCAAGACCTATCTGTTGCAGGCCATCCCGAACGACGTCTATATGCAGATTGACAGTATGTCAACGGCAAAAGAGATGTGGGATGAGATCTTTAAGATCATGCAAGGAACGGAGATAGGAGTGAAAGCTAAGAAAGCCAGCACTTTTACAGCATACGACTCGTTCAAAGCCAAGCTTGGAGAATCACTTGAGGACACCTACCTCAGATTCCTGCAGTTGATAAATGAGATGAGAAAGATTGGCGCGCACAAGTCGAATATGGAACTGAACGTGAGATTTCTGTCTTCACTTGGAGTTGACTGGAAGAAGCTGAGCTCACAGATAAGGCACACAAAGGATCTGGATGAGATGGATATCCATGCAGTGTACAACACACTTGATCAGTATGCTGAAGATTTTTCTGACTTTGTGGTTGCCGCTGTGACGGCTGATAAAGGAAAGGGAGCGGTGGACAAGCTAGCTGACACTCTTGCCCTGATGCTTGACAAGCCTTCAAAGTCTGGTTCCAAGAAAGATAAGATGATAGCTGATGAAAGTGAAAGTGCTGACAATGACATTGGTTTCTGGGATAATTCTGATGATGATGAGCTTCGTGACTTCCAGAAGCAGATAGCCCTTCTTACCTCCAGGTTCAATAATCAAATGCAGAAAAATAAGAACTCCTCAAATAACAGGCTCCGCAAGTCCTCTTCCAGCAACAACAAAAGAAAAGAGCGATCTTTTGATTCTTCTGAGAATGGAAATGCTGAGGATGCTCCAAAGTGCTTCAATTATGGGAAGACTGGACATCTGATAAAGGATTGCAGGATGCCAAAGAGGAGGAAGGATGCTGAATATTATAAGCAGAAGATGAATCTGAACAAGAAGATGTTGCTGGCAATGGAAGAAAGCAGTGAGAAGAGTGCTCTCATGGCTGAAAAAGATCACTGTATGGATGATTCCGATGAAGAAGAGAATATGGCCTTGATGGCAGTGGTTGAAGAAGAAGAGAAAGAGAAGGATGCTGAGAAAAAGGAGAAAGACAAAGCTGAGGAGAAGAAGAACCTGTCTACCCCAACCAATGTTGATGAAATGACTGTCCTGTCTGCTGAGAACAGGAATGCTGACAATGAAGTAAGTACCTCTAATTCATCTATTCATACTTGCTCTAGAACCGATATGCATGATAAATTTAAGGAGCTAGAGGTGAAATACAATAGATTGTATGATGTATATAATCAACTGCGTGAAAAACAGACATGCTCAAACATTAAGATAATCAATTCAGAGAAAACAATCACTAAGCTCACAACTGAGAATAAAAGACTTAGTGTTAGCGAAAAAGAACTGACAGAGAAACTTAGAACTACTGAGAAAGAGAGAATTAGACTTTTTGGTGTAAACAACTTACTTATGGAAAGAAGGGGTGCTCTTTACACTACAATCAAAGAACTTGAAGACCTGTTAGCCAAGAGAGACCAAACAGACCAGACTATTTTTCTTAACCAGCCTAAGGACACTCGTTTCTATAACGCCAAGGAGGGCCTGGGTTTGACCAATCCTCAGAACCTGAAAAAGGTCAATTGTAGACAACTCTATGATGTTAGATACATGAAAATAGGATTGACCAAACTCATGGCCTTCACTGGTGCTGAAGAAACGAATGCCCTTGAGGATGAAAAGAGAAAGACAAAGGCTGGTGTCGAAGTTCCTTTTGACTACACAGAGTTAAACAAGAGCTACAAAACCAAAGCACTCCCTTTGACCCCAACTGAAGAAATCTTGACCTATCCTCCTGAAAAGGAAGCTGTGAAAGACGGAGAGGAAGCTTCCACATCTGAACCAATTGAGAAACCAGTTTACATTCCACCGTTGGTGAGAAAGTTTGCTGAGTTAAAAGATTCTTTTGAAAAAGAAAAGCAAGTTTTGGAAAAAGAAAGAGATGAACTTTTAAAAGAAATATCCTCTTTGAAAACCGCCTCTCAGTCTAACACAGCTTCTCAACCCTCTTCCCCTTCTTGTTCTGAAAACACTTCTGAAAATTCAAGCGATAGTTTTAAGACTTCTTCTTCTCATCCTAAGTCTCATTCTCCGACAGGGAAACATGTGAAGAAGAGAGTCGAGAAGAAAGGAGAATGGATTGAAGACAAAATAAGAAGGAAGAAGAGAGAAGAAGAGTCGAGATTAAGAAATAAGTGTCAGCGGTCGAGCGCCATATTTTATGTTAAGAATAAGTCTAGTTCTAGCATTAGTGAGCCTTCTACTAGTTATACTAGAAGAGTGGCTCCTAAGTCTTCTAGTTCTAAGATTTCTGTTTCCAATCGATGTACTAAATGTGTTTCTCAGAATTGCATTAAATCAATGAAATGTTGTTGTTTTGAGTCTGTTTCTTCTTGCAAAGCAAATGATCCTGTGATTGTTGATAATGTTGTGAATAAGCCCAAGATTGATAGGGTGAATGTTGAGAGTGAGGTCAAATTGCCATTTTTAAGGTATCCTCTCAAGATTCACTCAGTCAAACATCTGAGAAGGCTATCACGCGAACCAATCTTGAAAGACCATTTATCTGAACAATCACTTAGGACAAATGAAAGTTCCCTCGCTCCAAAAATCAATCAAATAAAACAAAAATGGGTTCCTAAGGCTGAAGCAGAACAATTAAAAATGAAAAATTCTTCTCAACCAGCCAGCCTAGGATCCCAAATCAAAAAGAAGTTGAAACAATTGCTCACTGTTGATAAGGAAGGACCCATCTGGCGATGGGTACCTAAGCGAAACTAATCTGTTTTGCAGGTCAGTCATGTGTGGCATCTTGATTCGGGTTGCTCGTCACACATGACTGGACAGATTGAACTACTGAGCAACTATTGTGAAAGGTTTGGAGGAAATGTGAGGTTTGGGAACAATGCATCATCGCCCATACTCGGAATAGGAGATGTCATCTGTGAGAGCGTCACAATCAGAAACGTGTCATATGTGCAGGGACTGAAACACAACTTGCTTAGCATCGGCCAATTTTGTGATAATGGAATGGAAGTAAGATTCCATGCTAGGCAATGTTGTGTGATGGATATGGGTGGGACACCATTACTAAGGTGTCAGAGGAAAACCAATCTCTACACCATTGATCTGAAATCGGTACGATCCCCCATATCCATCTGTCTCCTGTCCAAAGCATCTGAAGAACAAAGTAATCTATGGCACAGACGTCTCTCACACTTGAATCTGCCAGCCATCAGTTCCCTCTCCTCGAAGAAGCTAGTGAAAGGATTGTCTGTTCTGAAGAACTCCCCCAACCATCACTGTTCTGCATGTCATTTGGGAAAGATGAGGAGAGCTTCACACAAGTCAAAACAATTTCCCTCCTCATCTCGTCCCCTGGAGCTACTACATATGGATCTGTGTGGTCCGATGCGCGTGCATAGCTACTACTTTGGTAATTGTGGATGACTACTCACGCTACACATGGACCAAGTTTTTGCGCTTCAAGGACGAAACTGCAAACTTAATCATGACGTTCATCAGGACCATACAGAACTATCTACAGCAGAATGTGAAGATCATCAGAACTGACAACGGGACGGAGTTCAAGAACAAGGAACTGACCGAATTCTATGAAGCTCAGAGAATTACTCAACAGTTCTCTGCAGCCAAAACACCACAGCAGAACGGTGTTGTAGAAAGACGGAATAGAACCTTGGTGGAAGCAGCCAGAACCATGCTGATACAGTCCAAGCTTCCTCACTTCATGTGGGCGGAAGCTATCAACACGGCTTGCTTTACACAGAACAGGACAGTGATCCACAAAAGATTTGACAAGACGCCCTATGAGATTGTGTTCAAGCGGCTCCCTAACATTGCCTTCTTCCGCGTCTTCGGCTGTAAATGCTACATTATGAACGACAGGGATGCTAGGGGGAAGCTTGATCCAAAAGCAAATGAAGGGATATTCATTGGATATTCTACCAATTCCAAGGCATACAGAGTATACTTGAAAGACAGAAGAACCGTCATGGAGAGCATCAATGTGAGCTTCTATGAAATGGCGGATTTGGCTTCTGAACATTTTCATTCTGAACCATCAACCTCTGCAAACAATGAAACTCCATCATCTTCTGGAGTAGGAGGGCAGGGAGGTGAGACAAGATCTGATGAGCACGTGGTTCTGGATTCTCTATTTGAGCACTTCTACAGCCAACCACGTGCAGCACCAACTACAAATGCTATAACCACTCAGAACCCCCTGTTACCTGCTCCAAATGCTGAAGAAACCAACACTCCTACTCAGAATGATGATGAGCACACAGATAATGAAGCTGAATATGAACCAACCTCTCCTGTTAATGATCAACCTGAAGAACCTACAACGCAAGAAACCCCAGAAGCACAACTAGAGCAAGAATATTCTGACCCTGATCATCCAATCATAACTCCACTACCTCTACAACATGAGAGAAAGTGGACAAGAGCACATCCGCCAGAGCAGATAATTGGAGATCCATCTCAAGGAGTCAGAACCAGAACGACATCAGTCAATGAATGCTTATACTCATGTTTTCTGAGTCAGAAAGAACCAACAAAGATGACTGACGCATTGGCTGATCCGGACTGGGTGATTGCAATGCAGGAAGAAATGAACCAGTTTGAAAGATTAAAAGTGTGGACCCTGGTGCCAAGGCCGTACAAGAAAACTGTTAGGTCCCTGTTTTCTAGTCTATAAAATGTATGTATGGAAGATAGATCTGGGAATGAAGCTTTCCATTGATGGTGAAGGTTTTACAGAATGATATGAAAGTTAGCGTAAAAACCTTACACGCAAATAGGCACTGCGGCACTAGGAATATCGAAAAGCTTAACCTAGCCCTTCCCTTAAGGCATATATATAGCCTGACGGGAAAGGTAGGTTTTACAATTATTTTGGGCTCCCTTTTCTAGGAGGCCCATACCTAAAAAGGTATAAAACCTTTATTACAAAATTGCCTTAAAAGGCCTATTCATTATTCTAGCTAACTATAAACTAGCAAAGTAACATTGATCACAATTACAATGAAAATATCTCTAACAATCTCCCCCTTTGTGATCAGATGTTCTTGCTTCTTCTTTTCTTCACTTCTGAGCTTTAAAATAATGCTTTCTAAGATTGAGTGCATGCTCGTAATTTCTGAGAGACCTTCTTCTGTCTAGTTGTTTCTCGATGGCTTTCAAGATTTTATTGACTCTTTCCAATTCTTTGATTTCTTCTTTCGAGGCTTCATTCTGTCTTTTATCTAGATCTTCTTTCCTTGGCTGGAGCTGTTCTCGGATGATTTGCAGGGTCCCATCACAGTATTTTTGAATGTCTTCAACAATCATCAGACGCTTCTCTTCTTTGTGATTCAGATAAATGACTGAGATGGGCTTGTCAAATGTACCATATGCTGCAAAGGTTTCAAGCCCAGGTCTATCCAAGTCCGGTCGTGTAAGGTTCGCCTTTGAATAATTGTGTTCAAGAGTCATCTGGAGATCATGGGAGGCGTAGAACCGAACTTGTCTTGTCATGAATCTCTTAATGGCCTCAAAACCTTCTCTAGCAAGTCTGTCTTTGTGCACTGGGAGCTCCCTGCATCTCATGAACATTTGATAAATATCATCCATGTGCAGTAGGAAGAAGTCATTCTCTTGACAGGTGAACTCCGAGCCATCGGTACGTCGTAGACGAAAGATCAGGAACTTAATCGTTTCCAAGTAGTCTTCTGTGATATCCAGGATTTTCGATATAGGACATCCACTTGTTGCGAGATTATGATTTAGAACTTGTCTTCGTTCCCCTGTGGATCTGTGTCCTAGCATATACAGATTACCTCCTCGGTATTTTCCTTTCAAGTGATTGATTCCTCGCATCTTTAATTCACTGAACTTCTTGATTTTTTCAGGTTGTCGCCAGATTTTCTCTCGGATTTCTTCTAGGAAGGGGGCTTTGATTCTAACAATTTCCCATTTTTCTTTGGCTGGTTCTGGTGCCTTGGGATTTTCTTTATGATTCTCCCCTTCCTTGAGTTCATCTTCATCGAGTCCAATCATTTGTGCATGATATTTGTTGAGGAATTCTCTGAGTTGCCAGCTTCGACACATTTCGTACTGCTCCGCTTCCACTCTAAGATCATCCCACTCTGTCCACTCGCGAGGCCACTGATCATGAACTAGAAGGTCTTCCAGTTCATCTTGTATTTGATTACCAGAGGGCTTAGAGTGAGCTTGTTGTTGTGTCGAAGGCGACCTGTCATGTGAAACACCGGGATCCTCAGGATTGCCCGTTATCATCAGATTAGAACTAGGTTCTTTCTGATGGCCTGAATAGAATGGTGTACTCGACGTAGCAACCTCAGGACTTCCACTCCATCCTTGGTCTACATCTATGAAAGATGAGCCTAGGAGTGTTGTTTCTAGCTCGACCGGGCTAGATGTGGGTGAGTTGGCTGTTTGGCTTTTATGTTGAGTGGATGATGGGGGCTGATTGTTCGAGGATTCAGGTTGGTTGGATTGCGTAGAAGGTTGGCTTGTTGACGCATCACGCTCAAGTGTCCTTTGTCTCTTGTTCTCCCCCTCATGAGGATCCGAGTCATCGGGGTCCTCATGCGAACGTTTGTGACCGAGGAGACTATCACGGCATGAGCTGTCAGGCTTAAGGATCCGAAGAAGGTCTTTTTGTTTCTGGGTTAGGTTGCCTTCTTCGGTGGCTAGTAGTTGATCTAGCATAAGGGTTTCGAGTACCTCGAACGGTAAAGTTTTAGGGTCAGGAAAAGGTGTGGTCGAAGTAGGGGAGGACACTAGTTCTGTATCCTGGGTTCCCCTTGAAGCAGTAGGTGAGTGAGGTAGGGTTGTGGATGGTTCAGAGGTTTGTTGGGTAGGTATGATAGGAAGTGGTTGGGTTTGTTGGGTATGTGAGGATGTTGATTGGGGTTGGATGATGTCATTTAGCAACGCCGGGGTGTTCCTGAATTCCTGTGCCCGAGCGGTTATTGCTTCGTGCACCCATGGTTTAATGGTGGAATCCAAGAAACGTTGCAAAATGACAGAAAGGTCGGTAGGGTCAGGGTGTCCGGTTACAGGGGTAGTAACCGTTGTCACAGCATCAGTAAAGATTACTGAAGTGTGGCCTGCAGATAATGATGGAGTTATCTGTTGTGCAGCAGGACTTCCGATCATCATTGACGTATCTCCGATCGTTGATGACAAGTAAAGTGCACCTGTAGTGTGCAGTGGTGTGAGCAGTGTATGTGTCCTAGAAAATGTTGAAAAAGTTGGGATGGTGGAAACTAGACTCAATGTGCTAGAAGGAGGGGTAGTGGTCTGGGGCGGAAGACCACAAAGTAAATCCTCAGCTGCTTCGTAAGGAGGCAGCGAGGTGGGTAAAATATCCCCTATATGTGAAACTACTACCTGTTGGGAGGCAGCAGAGTGGCTAGGTGAGGCTTGTGCATGCGCAGTTGGGCTAGATGCCGCGTCTTCTACTCGGAGACTGAAAATATCAGCCTCTGCACCTATGGGGTTAGCCCGGTTTATTGTGTCAAGGTCAGAGCAGCTGTCATATAAAGCTAACTCTTCTGTCAGGTTGTTCGCGGTTTGCACTCTTTGCACAGGAGTAGATGATGAGGCAAGATCATGACGCACCTTGGAGCGAGTCTCACTGATGATATTTCCTTGAGTGTCCTTGATTTGGTGAGACTGCTCTTGTGTTGTAGCCCGAGAAAGCCTGATAACGAGTCGTCCTTTCTTAGCGCGGGCTTTCTCGACTTTCTTGCCCTTTGCATTGGCATTGTCGTCGTCCTCATCATCATCATCGTTGTCGTTCCTAGCCTTGCTCCCAGAGCCCTCATCGTCAGCGTCTTGTGTTGTGGCTACGCTTGGCGAATCACGGGTAAACTCCTCAGCACGGGTGTGGCCCTCAGCAGACATAGTCTGATCATCATGGGGCCGGCTTGCCACTGGTCTCTGTGGCTGGGTTGAACTCTCAGGACCCTCACTTACTCTCGGCTGACTCCCCGGGGTAGACTCAAGGGGGTTAATCTGAGCCATAGGGAGTATGATGTTGTTCTCCTGGCAATAGCGGATGACGTGTGGATCGTTGCGGCCGGCTATTAGCAGGAGAGGTTCTGGTATGGGCAGAGGCACCACGTTCTGTGGCTCTGCCATTCTCTTCAGATATTGGAGTGCTGGAGTGCTGACATTCTCAGAGGATCTTCTTCTTTGGATGATGGGAATGGTTCTGTAGAAATGTCGCACCAGCAGGGAGAACCATCTCATGTATGGCAGATGTTTGATTAGGTTTGTGTCGAATTTTCTTCTCCTCATCTCCAGCATATCTCCCCAGATAAGTGCGGCGTAGTCATAGTTCTTCATGAATGCTACACCGTGGAAGATGTAGACTAGATAAGCGCTGCATTTGTCGAATCCGCCGTGCTTGGGGGTACAGCACTTGTTCAGAGCGGCCAACATTGTCCTCCACGGTCTTGGTAGGCGCCCGGGCTTGATTTCAGACATCACGTGGAGAGGTTGAACATGGCCCAATGAGATGATGTCAGCAATGACTTGTGCTTCTGGGGCCAACGCTTCATATTGTGCCTCCTCCGGGATCTGTAGCACTTGTTGTACTAGCGCCTTTGTGATTGTGACTCTGGTGTTGCAAATGGTGGCGGCTAGCACGTTGTTGAGTTGTCTCCCATTCTCGTCTACGTCCTTGTCAAGTGTACCCCAGAATTGTTGGAGATACACCTGAGGGACTTCAGCATTGTTGTTTAGGGCCTTCCACAGCTTGTGCCCTTTCAGAATGGAGACGATGACGTTGTCTTGACATGAGAAGGCTTCTGGATCCAGTTGGGCGTTGTTTTCTTTTATCGGGATCCAGTGTTCCTTAGCATAGATCTGATTGATTGGTGTGACAGCAGCCATTTCTGTTTAGAATGATGAACAGATTAGAACAAATGATCAAAAACGACTAAGTCCACACTCTTTTCTCATTTGGGCCCTTTGATGATTTTTTTTTTTTTTTTTTTTTTTGAAAAATGGGGCATAGTTGAAGAGTGGTTATTGGTCTTGGTCTGATTTTGGACCTGGACTTTGTTACTGTTGGCCCAACTTAAAAGGATTTCCCTTAAGGGTTTGGAACTGGGTTGGGCCTTGGTTAATTGCGTGCAGGCCAAAATTTTGGCTAAGTGACAGATTGCGCAACTTGTTTGGATCGCGCAGGCTATCACGATCGCGCAAAGTAGATGGGTCGCGCAAGGAGTAACAATCGCGCAGCAACAAGATCGCGCCGTCCTGATCGTGTAGCCCTAATGATTTGTCTAAAGGTAGAATCGCGCAGGTCCAAAACGCGCAGCCCAAATTGCGCAGGCCAAATTGTGCAGGCCAAATCGCGCAGGCCAAATTGTGCAGGCCAAATCGCGCAGGGCTAAAACGCGCAAGATACTCAAATCGCGCGGCTTAAAGGTTGCGCATCACATCTTTTTGCGCAAATCTTAAATCGCGCAGGATGATGTTCGCGCAGGTCTCCAAGATCGCGCAACATAGACATATCGCGCAATCCGGGATCGCGCAACATCTCAGAGTTTTCGCAAGAACACTAATCGCGCAACGTCTGTGGGTTGCACCAGATCTGTAAATCGCGCAGCCTGTCATTTTGCGCAGATCTGAGATAGCGCAAGGACCAGGATCGCGCAGGTAATCATATCGCGCAACCCCGGTTCGCGCAAGTACTCAGAGATTGCGCAATGACCTTTTCTTCGTCTTCTCTGTTCATAATCTTTGCAAGATACCTGTAAAGAGATAACCAAATATACAAGGGATGGTGTTTTTACCGAGAGGAGTGTTGAGAGCTTTGAGGAAGAAGGGAGATGCGAGATTTGGAGCTTGGGGGATTGTGAGAGTTTCGCGCAGGAAGAGAAATGGAAGGGAGGGTTGCGCGTTTTCGAAGTTTAAATAGGCCCGGGGTGATTTTTGAATTTAAACGGGCCCAAATCAGTCTGATTTTAAAAAAATGCTCCCCCTCAACACTTGCTTTCCTTTCAAGATAACATTTTTGGCAAAAACTTCCCCTCAACCTTTGTACAATTTAGAAATGCTCCCCCTCAAATTATGGACAATTTTGGAACACTCCCCTTCAACAAAATGAACAGATTGGAAAACTTCCCCTAAACTGATAAACAGATTTGGAGAAGCTCCCCCTTGATTTATGCACTAGAGTGATGCTATAAACAAAATGTAATGCAAAAATGTGATGCAAGAGTAATAAAATGATGCAATTTTTGAAAAAGAATGATTTTTTTTTTTTTTTAAAAGAAAATATGCAAGCACACGCACACACCCAATACCGATTTCGTCATTCATTCAGGTTCAGCATCCCCAGCTTAGAGACCAGAAAGTTGAATCTCTTTTCATCCAGGGCCTTTGTGAAAATGTCAGCCAGTTGCAATTCCGTGGACACAAAGTACATGTCCACGGTGCCCTTCTCAACGTGATCCTTTATGAAATGATATCTGAGATCAATGTGTTTCGTCCGGGAGTGATGGACAGGATTGCACGTGATGGCTATTGCACTTTGAGAGTCGCTGTAGATCGGGATGTGTGAGAATGTGAACCCGTAGTCCTTCAGCTGAGTCCTCATCCATAAAATCTGTGAGCAACAGCTAGCGGCCGCGACATATTCTGCCTCAGCCGTAGATGTGGACACGCAATTCTGCTTTTTGGAGGACCAGCATACCAACTTTTCACCAAGAAACTGTGCACCACCGGATGTACTTTTTCTGTCCAGTTTGCAACCAGCAAAATCAGCATCCGAGTATCCCACAAGGTCAAAACCAGATTCCTTGGGATACCAAAGGCCCAGATTGACTGTTCCTTTGAGATATCTCAGTATTCTTCGTACAGCATTCAGATGTGATTCTTTCGGATTTGCCTGAAAGCGAGCGCACAGGCAGGTTGCAAAGACAATGTCCGGTCTGCTAGATGTAAGGTAC